TTGTCATCTGGTTTCTTCAATAAAAAAAAGAACAAAACAAACTAATGTGATCAGTTTTATACTGTTTTTTGTTTTACTAAAGTAACAACCAATTTAAAGTATAAAAATTTGATGGTGAATTATTTTAGGTGTAGACAAATTTATTGATCTAAAACTGGAAGAAGCAAAATTTGATTCCATAATTATCTTCAATAGTTTATATCAACTTTATGTCTACAATAAAGAGATAAATGTTCAAGATTTTATCTGACTAATCTCAACTGATATGTAAGTTGCTCCAGAGGTTGACTCGACTTGATGTCAGTGATTACAAGTTTGATGACATTTTTTTAGTTTATAGCTAGCAAAGTAATTTGAATTGTGAATTTGATCTTATTTGAAACTTATTAGTTAGATGTACATGAATTACGGTGTTGACATTCATATTGGACATCGAACTCAGTGCTTATTATAATTTAGTATGTTTTGTCAAATACAATTCAGTATAGATTATGTATAAAAGGCTACGACGCGTCTTCCACCAAAATATTTAGTCACACTCTTAATTCCAATGACGATTATTTTGGACAAAAGCACGTTATCAGTGTATCTATTTAAGGAAGTAATTCATTGACATAGACTGATGGACTTCAGCTCAGCATATATCAGCAATGGGAATGCATTAACACTTTACGAATGAAGGGACTGGTTGTTTTTATAGTCTGCAGGAATAGAATATTAGAAATTCAGACGGCGTAGAAAATTGGTTTTCTCCGTAGATTTGTTTACGGCAACATGTACGTAGGATTTTTATTATGTACACTTTTAAGTATAATTTCTACTCTTTCAAAAGGTCAAATCTGGTTTTATCTAGAATAAGATTGTACAGATGAGGTTATGAAAATACTTTCTGAACTTTTCCCAGTGACATTTTTTGTCAAAGTTATTTCCATCAAGATAAACAGTACCTGCTAAAAATTACTGTTTCAATTCATAGTAATAAATTAAGTCCACTTAAATCAGATTTTATACAGAAATACAGATAATACTATTAATTAGTACATTATTATGGTAGAAGAGAAGTTACCAAGTATTACTTCAGGAAAACATTTAGCAGAAAATACATTTATAAAATGTTAGCATGTTAAATAGGCGTTTGACATGGGTCAACCAGTAACATAGTCTGAGACATTGCCAGTGACTTCTTTGGGTTGTGAGTAACCTCCTGTAAGAGTGATATTTTCATTGGATAATTTATGAGTAGTAACCAGTTTCATGTTCCCCTACTGTTTAGTATATACGAGTATAGTCGTTGATTTTCAAACTCTTTTGTCATAGTTGGCGATTCACCTTATCAATGAGTGTCACTTACTAATCAATTTTCAAATATCTAATACGTTTTAACTCAATTTACACACAACTAACATAACAAATATTCTGAAACTTTGTCGATAGAAATTTAACCAGGTATCAAGACCAAAAAATATAATGTTAGTTACTACTACTACTACTACTACTACTACTACTGTGGTGTGTGCTACCTATATCGACATAAGTAGTATATGACGCTAGTCGTGAAGAGAATGTCTGGCAGAGAGACAAGAGGATAGAACAGTAAAGAATGGAAACGAAATGCAATTTGTATGAAAATTTAAGAAAAATGAAGTCGGAGTCATTTTGAAGCAATTGATAGACATTTTGCAAATTAGGCTTTTACTACTTGATTGTTAGATTTTATTAACAAGTCCTGTAATTTCGTGTCAAATACATTCGATTGTACCCACCCGTCTTCTATTCACTACACTACTACTACTACTACTAATGCTGCTACTACTACTACTGTGGTGTAGGTTATTTGTATCCACAAAAGTAGTATATAACGGTAATCAAGCATGGAATTTATCTCAGTAGAAGGTCGATACGGAAAGAACGGGAACGGAACGCATTTGGTATGAAAACGCATGAACAATGAAATCTGAGACAATGGATTGATGTTTGCAAAGAGGAATAAGGAAGTTTGATATGATGGATTGATACTTCGCTAATTAACGATTTACTATATTGTTCTCAGATTTTATTGAGATGTTCTGTAATTTAGTTTCAAATACAATGGATTGTCCCCACTGGTGTTCTGTTCAGTACACTACTACTACTGCTACTACTACTACTATTACTACTACTGCTAGTACTACGGCTACTACCTGTTCTACTACCTGTTCTATCTTTTAAATGAATTGTTATTAAAACAACTGTGTTATCAAAGTGTCCATAAATTCGTTATTCAATTAGGAAAAACATGTTTCAAAAAATACATAAATGATTTTATATTTTTCTTTAAAAAAAACCCCAAATAAAACGAATTATTTATAAACTTTCAGTAGAATTGTTATTAATTTTCTTTTAAAGAAAAATAAATATTATGTGTAACTATGAAACATTTAACTGTCTTTAAATTTTTAGATAATCTTCTTACTAAATCTAATATTATTCTCCATGACATCGAGTAACAATATTCAACATTTTTATGTTAAACGTTAAACTGTCACATTTTAAATTTAATTTCTATGTAAATTACTTCTAGTATCTGATATAATTTAATATTCTCTTAACTGAAAATAAAATTACTACCAGAGTTTGTATGACATAACGATAATTACATCATTTCCGATAGTGTTGTAAATAATTCTATCATGAGTAAATTATAAGGGCTTTCAATATTTAATGATTTTTATTATTGAATATATCTATTAAACTTTCTTTTATATTAACCTTTGAATATTTTTTATTTTAAATGTTAGATAAAGCAAAATTATTCTGTTATGTCATGCATCATTTATCATTGAAAAATGAGAGAACATTGTTTTGAAAACAGTAATCTGTAGAATGATGCCTAACCTGAAGAAATTATAATTAATAATCATAGAATTTAGATAAAAATGATTTCATTCAATATTTTAGTAATATAATAACATAATCGTATAATAAAAGAGAAAATCAATGAAGAACAAAAAACAGATAAAAAAAAGGAAAAATCAATAAAAGTAAACAGATACAAAATAAATAGAAGTTATTTTCTATGAATCGAAGAAGCAATGAGTTTTTCAGCATAGTTTAAAGAAGTGTTCAATAAATTTTTTTTTCTTTTATAGAAGAATTTTCATTTAGTAAACAATTTTAAATGTTTATTTTTAATGTATTAATAAAATAAATCGATTATCACTTTGTCATAATATTAGTGAATTGGACTGAAACAAAAATAAAAGTGAGTTAGTTTAGGTATTTAAACAATCTATTTATAGTAAACGAGTTTAAGCTTGAAATGTAAGTATTTATTTAAGTTTTTATTAGTCAGATAGTATTGTAGTGAACAGGAAACCGATGGGGATAAATCGTTAATTTGCAAAATATCAATTCATCATATCAAACTTCCTTATTCCTCTTTGCAAACATCAATCCATTGTCTCAGATTTCATTGTTCATGCGTTTTCATACCAAATGCGTTCCGTTCCCGTTCTTTCCGTATCGACCTTCTACTGAGATAAATTCCATGCTTGATTACCGTAATATACTACTTGTGTGGATACAAGTAACCAACATTACAGTATCACTGTTCCTCATATAGAAGACTTCAAATACATAACATAAGCATTTATTTTGTAAATAAGTGACATTACATATTATTGTTAAGTGGACAAACTGTACATGGAACATTTAGAATGTATATTTGCTGAAGTGTTTACACGTAAAAGTTAGTAAAATACATAGATTAGCCTTGTAGATATATAAAAACAAATACAAAAGCTAGATTTTATGATTTCCTGTTAACTGAATTCAAAAAATTTAGCAAACAAAGTGAACCGTGAATTTGACCATTGCACAGGATATGATTAGCATATGTTCAATTTCCATGAACAATGGATGACACTCATTGTGTATTATATTTTCTAATATAATTTCTTCCGGTCAGTAGTTTCATTAACATCATAGTAGATCAATGTATTTTTATGGATAGCACTATATATATACCATTCCTTCCTTCCAACCATCTTCTATTTCAGTTTACGCAGGTGTAGGCAAATATGTCAGATGTCCAAGCTACTATATTTTATCAAGATTCACAAACTTGTCAATCACTTTGTTATACTTATTTAGCATTGTTGTGACTTTCTAAAATATAAAATTAATATTTATCACTCATTTCATTACATTTTTCAATTCTTTGGCAGCCATTAATCTTAAAACTGATATCCTTCCTTCGGTGTACTAGAAATTACTGTTGCCCTACATTATAACCGTAATGAATTACGCCTAATTTAGAATATATATATATATATATATATATATATATATATATATATATATATATATATAACTCAGACATCTGAGACATTTGGCTATACCTGCGCAAACTGAAATAGAAGATGGTTGTGATCTGTTTGGTCATTACAGAATTTTTCAGAACAAAATCTAGCATAAAGCTAGGATATGAATGGATATTTTTAAATATGATGGTCATGTAATATCATAAATTAACTGTCATCCTAGTGATCTTAAGATATCTTAATGGGTATGAAACATAAAAAAACTTTGTATTCGTAACATCATGAGTGTGTGATATTTTATGAAAGTTCGAAAAGGTTACATTCTTTTTTAAGGTTGGGAAGAACATGTACTCTCAATCTTCCTAATTTTCGTGGTTGGTTGTGTAAGCCTTGTAAAGAATGTAATAAAATTGAACTGTATTATAGAACATAGCATTGCTGAATGCAGAAGATTTTCAAACTAATGTTAAGCAAATATCTGTGTAATCCTATTTTCAAAGTTTCTTCAGATGATGTTAGTTCGTGATGAAAATTCATTTCACACGTTTAAAATAATTAATATAGAGCATATCTTATTTTACATATGAATATTTTATAATACACTACTCATTGAAGTAAAGATTTCGTGCATAATTATAGATCAATAGTTAACCATAAGATGAATAGAAACAAACAAATATTCAAATTTAGTTCACTTACTTTTCTGATAAAGCAAACCTAGGTAATCGTTTTTCTTTTGCATTATTCAAATGATCATATTTTGATGGATTATCTTTCAACATATAATTAGGTAGTAATTCCGAATAAATCAACATGATATGTATATGTCTACATAGGTTTCTGGTGAATTATAAGTAGTTTAAGTAGTCACAGATGAATAGGAAAATTTTAAATAGGAAAATAATAAATTACTATTTTAAAATAGTTTGTTTTTCCAATGAATCCATTGGTCGCTTAATATGTAACATGAAACAGTCTACCTTTTGATCAAACTGCTCACTGATTGGTTGATACTTTCCTTTGTTGTTGATTGGTTTACATGTTTAGATTGATCACAAGCAATATGTTATTAAAAAGCAAACTGAAATGAACTCAGTACTTGCTAGGGATGAGTGAAGACCAAGCAAATCAGGCTTATATATGTTTGTGAATTAGATCAGTAAATGAAATCACTTCTCACACTAATATATATATATATATATATATATATATATATATATATATATATATATATATATATATATATATATATATATCATGTTACCAACGCCTTCATTTTAAGTGAGGAAAATGAATAAATAGGTAAGATAATGAGGACAATCACGGTATTACATAAATCATTACTCACATGTAGTACAATAAGCATCGTATGCTACATATTTTATGTTAAAAATAACTGAACTTAAAATGTAAATTAATCATGATCCAACGTGTTATGTCATACCTAAGTGATTTTAAAATGAAATGTGGTTAATAATTAGGTAGTAAACAAATTTATTCTGAGTTGTGCTTAAAATGTGGACATTTTATTTTATGATGATTATTCAATTATCATGATACTGTTCACGTGCCAAAACTCGAGTCCCCACCACTCATCTTTATAGTTAGAGATAGAAACTCTTATATATACTATCAGATTTTCTGAAGCAATTTATGTGCAAATTTGTTTTAATGAATATTAGTTTCACCCTTTAATTTGTTTCAGGGTACACATATAGCTTGTCGATGAGTAATTAAAATAACCCGAATTGTGTTTATAATTCTAGTGAGTTTTTTTTAATTTTAGTAGAATAAGAACAATTATAAAGTCATGGTTTCCACCGCCCTAAAGTTATATAACATACAACAAGCGTAAGCTGAAGCATCGTGAATCTACCAGTCAGTCTAGTTACAACGTTCACTAGTTAGAACTTATCTGAATTTCTTTATTGGACTACTTATCGATGAAGATTGAAGTATTATTCATCGTTACTTATTGCTTTGTTGCATCGTACATCTCTATTCTATTTGTAACTTGGATCTCATCGACATCAGCAATAACGGTGCTGAATTGGCTTTTCGGGCAGCATGGTTTTCCATAAACATTAACTACAGACAATTAACCTCAGTTCACGTCAGAAATCTTCTCGAACTTCCACAATTACACATTTTGAGGCCACTACCTTACCATCCCCAGTCAAACAGTCAAGCTGAGTGCTTTGTCGATACCTTCAAGCAAGCTCTCATCAAGTTACAAGAACAGGGCACGATGGAGGACGTTATGTAGCATTTCCTGAGAGTATACAGAATGACTCTGAGTCCAGCCTCACCAACCGGTATTTCCTTTTGATGAGTCAGTGTTTGCAGGGAAGACTCGAACAGCATATGATAGCATGTATTCACAAAAAAGAAGACGAGATTACAAACCCAAGGCGACGAGAATGCAAACGTCGGGTTTCTAATGAGAAATTCTCAACAATGGGGACCTGAGAGAGTAGCAGTGTAGTGTCAGTTATTATGTCAAACCAACTCAATTTTGCCAAGCGTGACTCGATATTTATAGTTAGACAAAAACAAGTTACAGACATGTGATGAGTAGGATAAGAAATGCACACGCATACGATTACATAGAAACAGTCAAGGTTGATAAGCGAATAATTAACAAGGTCAAACCGTGACTCGAGAAGAATGAATAAATTAGCCTGTCCGGAAGCTAGAAAAAGCTATGTGAGCTTAACATAGCAACCTACAATACAGAGGGTGTCATTGTAAGAAGAGTCCGTGATGTAATGTTTAAAATTAATGTTCGAGGTAAATGCTTAACGCAATGTGTAAACCACATCCCCGATAGGCGACGAAATTTGGATAAAGAACTGCCTATCGGGAATTAGATTATTTAACTGATACATTCAGTCTGGAGCGACAAGACCAGCACAGAAGAAAAATATAAAGAAGATGACGTTCCTTTTAATGGCTTCAGTTAAACCCAAGAAGAGAGACTTTTTTTCGGGGGGGATAGGTGATAAGGTAAGCAAATCAGAAAGAGCTAAAGGAGTAGGTCAGTGGATAGCAATCAGAAATGAGCTGATAGACAAATACATTTTATTGTCTAATACATTCTTTAATTTGCTAATGGGCAGATATATATATATATATATATATATATATATATATATATATATATATATTGATTTTATTCGGTTGCCCAATATACTTTCTCGCGCTCAAGCAGTCAATTAGGGCATATCACATCATGTATCAGTATCAGATTTCGGACACCATCCGGTACAATAGTAAATGTTTTGCTCCAAAATTTAATTGTTGACTCCTGATCCATGTTTTATATTGCGAGCGTATTTAGGATCACTTTCTCTGTATTGGTTTTGACTTGAATGTTATGCAAACTCTATTCTCAATAGTATAAATAAAAAAGCACTACTTAAAAATATGATAACCATAAACAAAAACACACATTAAACTTATTTTATTTAAAATTTTAAAGAGATAATGATTCATTTTCTATTCCGTTAATTTGATTTGTTTTCAAAGGAATAGTACTTATAATTAGATTGTTTTTGATTCACTAGCAAAATCAGTATTTTATTTGGTTCCATTAATAAACATTTGAACAAGAAACAACTAATCTCTTTGATCTGTAATCTTACTTTTATCTTTGACAAAATAATAAATAAAATTATAATCAAAGATTGATAGAGGCTAGCAGTGGAATCCAGTTTGACGCATGTTTCCTTCTATTTAGTACTAGTCACCTGAATGTACCTGCATCTCAGAGTTAATGTTCACTATGAGACTCAAAATCAATACCGTTCGCTTCAAAGCCATCATGTTATCCACTTAGCTTCTGAGTCCTGATAGTCACTTGATTGTGCGATGGGGTGAAGTTTGAATTCACTTGGTATTGTTTACTTTAATCATTCCATCGATGTTTAGAGCTGCAATTGATCAATCTCTTATTGGCATATGTGAATACGGTTCATATTGCCTTAATTCACAACTCTGAGATGCAGGTACATCCATCTAACGAGTCCCAAATAGGACGAAACGGCCGTTCAGTTCTTCTAGATTTTCCATGGTGGTCTAGCTTCAATTAACTCATGAATTCAACTATTAAATGGATTTATGCTTGATATTAGTAGTAATCAATAATAGACCATCTAAAGCCTAAACAATTTTAACTTTAAAAGGTTACTATTTACTTATTAATGAGACGAATTTTTTCAATTGTGAAGGATAAGACTGATCTATAACGAGAAAATTATGTCGTTTGTGAAACAATAAAGAAATAAAATACTAATAAGTTGAATTCTTAGAATATTAATTGATTTTGAAAACGGTACAATTAATATCATATAGTTTGTTAATTTAGTGATTTCTTATTAATAAATATGAGACATTTATTTTCATTTGTTTGATTAAGACTGCATTGTTTTATGTTTGATTTTTTATTAGTTAGTATACTATTATTATTTTTTTTACAAAAACAATAACAACAACTACTACTACTAAACTTGTTGGTCGATTACATCATAAACTGACTTTTGTTAAACAACCAATAAGATGATCAAGAAAATTCGTATCTGGAGGTGTTGCATTATCTGAGCGTTATATCCCGATGAGAATAATGAATGGTAACTTTTGGGATCAATATTATATGTATGTTTTTATCGTATAATTGTTAAGTAAGCAAACTATGCATATTCATGATCCTCTTATCATAAGCTTTATTTTGACCTATGAGCTATTATTATACGATTCTTGAGTTATGCCCTGTCCATCAATTACTATCTCCCTTATTCACAGCCACATTTGGCTAAATCTTGTGCAAGTGTTGTTTCCTATTTTATGGTACGATGTGGTCTGTTTAGTTGGTATATAAATCCAGTATGTTTGGAATACGTGATTCATATCACAGAGGCTGAGATTGGTGTTCTGGACTTAACAGGCTGGGCTAAGCAGGACTGATTAGGACTCTAGGCCGCTCGTACAGGTTTTATGTGTCATTGGTCCGGTCTATAAATTACTGTTCTCTAATTGGCGGTATCATTACATTTATAGCAACTCACATTCAATTGAGTTTGCTCTCACCTAATTCGGTTAAGCCCTTTTATTAACTTATTATGAATATTAACGTTATGTTCAATAATGTTTGTTTGATAATGTACGTATAATTAAAATGGTGACATAATAAACAACGTCTAAAGCAACATATGGGGGATCTGAGGATAACGCTTCCGAGGCAACAGCAACATCGTGTCTACATGCCAAAACGACTGACCGATAGTACCCATGTGTTTATCAGAAGGTTGCGTGTTCGAATCACGTCGGGCTCACCAATTCTGTTGCGGTCGGTGTTCGATATATTCCTTAAACTCCATATACAATTCGTCTCGGTAACCGTCACCAAATAATGCTCCAATGGTATATTAATCAGAAGGCGAATACGAAGCGTTAATTACGTTTATTAAGGGACCACACACAGATATCCAAAATTACAGATGCGTTAAGCAAGCATTAAATAGTTGTGCCGAAAGGCAAACAGGCAAGCGAGCGAGAGAGAGCAAGAGCAAGAGCGAGCGATCGAGCGAGTGAATGAGTGAGCGAGCGAGTCATGAATATGAATAACATGGACATATATATACATAGTGAAATGAATGAATCATCGAGTCAATTAAGCGGTTAATAGTAAAGCTAGTAGCGTGAATAAATGCGTAGGCAGTAAGGCTTGCCGAGCATACGTATTCATACAAGGATAACAATAATAAAGGTACATACATTCGCAACAGTAATAAGGATACAATAAGTTATTATAGTGCAG